AACAGCGTCAGGACAACAACAACAACAACGACAACAACCCTCTGAGGAACAGCGTCAGGACAACAACAACAACGACAACAACCCTCTGAGGAACAGCGTCAGGACAACAACAATGACAACAACCCTCTGAGGAACAGCGTCAGGACGACAACAACAACCCTCTGAGGAACAGCGTCAGGACAACAACAACAACAACCCTCTGAGGAACAGCGTCAGGACAACAACAACAACGACAACAACCCTCTGAGGAACAGCGTCAGGACAACAACGACAACAACCCTCTGAGGAACAGCGTCAGGACAACAACGACAACAACCCTCTGAGGAACAGCGTCAGGACAACAACAACAACCCTCTGAGGAACAGCGTCAGGACAACAACCCTCTGAGGAACAGCGTCAGGACAACAACAACAACCCTCTGAGGAACAGCGTCAGGACAACAACAACAACCCTCTGAGGAACAGCGTCAGGACAACAACAACAACAACAACAACCCTCTGAGGAACAGCGTCAGGACAACAACAACAACCCTCTGAGGAACAGCGTCAGGACGACGACAACAACCCTCTGAGGAACAGCGTCAGGACGACGACAACAACCCTCTGAGGAACAGCGTCAGGACAACAACAACAACGACAACAACCTTCTGAGGAACAGCGTCAGGACAACAACAACAACCCTCTGAGGAACAGCGTCAGGACAACAACAACAACCCTCTGAGGAACAGCGTCAGGACAACAACAACAACCCTCTGAGGAACAGCGTCAGGACAACAACAACAACCCTCTGAGGAACAGCGTCAGGACAACAACAACAACCCTCTGAGGAACAGCGTCAGGACAACAACCCTCTGAGGAACAGCGTCAGGACAACAACAACAACCCTCTGAGGAACAGCGTCAGGACAACAACAACAACCCTCTGAGGAACAGCGTCAGGACAACAACAACAACAACAACAACCCTCTGAGGAACAGCGTCAGGACAACAACAACAACCCTCTGAGGAACAGCGTCAGGACGACGACAACAACCCTCTGAGGAACAGCGTCAGGACGACGACAACAACCCTCTGAGGAACAGCGTCAGGACAACAACAACAACGACAACAACCCTCTGAGGAACAGCGTCAGGACAACAACAACAACCCTCTGAGGAACAGCGTCAGGACAACAACAACAACCCTCTGAGGAACAGCGTCAGGACAACAACGACGACAACAACCCTCTGAGGAACAGCGTCAGGACAACAACAACAACCCTCTGAGGAACAGCGTCAGAACGACAACAACCCTCTGAGGAACAGCGTCAGGACAACAACAACAACCCTCTGAGGAACAGCGTCAGGACAACAACCCTCTGAGGAACAGCGTCAGGACAACAACAACAACCCTCTGAGGAACAGCGTCAGGACAACAACAACAACCCTCTGAGGAACAGCGTCAGGACAACAACGACGACAACAACCCTCTGAGGAACAGCGTCAGGACAACAACGACGACAACAACCCTCTGAGGAACAGCGTCAGGACAACAACAACAACCCTCTGAGGAACAGCGTCAGAACGACAACAACCCTCTGAGGAACAGCGTCAGGACAACAACAACAACCCTCTGAGGAACAGCGTCAGGACAACAATGACGACAACAACCCTCTGAGGAACAGCGTCAGGACAACAACAACCCTCTGAGGAACAGCGTCAGGACAACAATGACGACAACAACCCTCTGAGGAACAGCGTCAGGACAACAATGACGACAACAACCCTCTGAGGGGTACTGCACAAAACCAAGATAAGGGATTAAGCCGGGATATGTTGGTTATCCTGGCTGAATTTAGCCTCAAGTCGGTTGCATGAAAGCAGGTTAAACTTATCCCGGCCAGGTTACTATGGTGATTTATTCTCTGCAGTTAGTCTGCTCCAGACCAGGCTAACAGCCAGACTAAGATTAATCCTAGTGATTCACCTGTATTTCCACCGTCAGTCCTGTGAGGAATTAATGTGTTTTACAGCATGTCCATGGTCTTTCTAAGTATGTTGCATCATTTTAATTATCCTGCATTAAAATATTACATATATTGTAATTTCTCATTTCATTTAAATCTGTTGGCTGTTTGTAATTGCAACAGTCTTTTATATTGATTCAAGTGGAAGTATTATTACTCAGGACAAGTGTTATATTGCTATGCTAATGAAGACTGCTTGTCAAACTGCATAAATATGTGTTTATTGCAGTAATTGAGATTACAAAACACAGCTGATGAAGTTGCAAAGGTGTTTTCAATGAAATCTGTGACAAGGGCAATAAAGTATATATATTATGGCATACTGTTTAAGAGATTAATCTTTGAATATATAAAATTAATCTTTGAATTTATGGAATGAATCTTGACTGGTCATCAAAGCACTGCTGTCATCTTGTAGAAGTGAGAATGAGTCAGTCAGGAACCTTGTGGCAGCAATACTGATCAATGAGGACATTATTAACTCATTGGTAAGTGCTTGTACGGGCCAAAATCCTCCCGATAGTGGTACCCGTGCCCAATACCGTTCTCCTGACGAAGAAGTTCACTTCCTTTTTAATGGTGGCAGGCCGACTACAACAGGCCTCAGGCTAAATCCTGACAGAAAAAGCAAAAAAGTTTTCCAGTTTAAGAAAGTATTGTAATATTTCAACTGATGCCATTTTGTAAAACCAGCTAATTCAGAAGGCTATCACTTTGATGAAAAGGATACAACTAGGTTTTCAATTTCATTCAGTATTCTCACATTTTTATCAGTATATCCAAGATTCATTCCATATATTCAAAGATTCATTCCATATATCCAAAGATTCATTCCATATATTCAAAGATTAATTTCCTAAACGGCATGCCATAATATATATATATATATATATATATATATATATATATATTATTCACACCTGTTCCCTCTTCATAATGGCTTGCCCTTTCTTGGAGGATGTACTGGATGAGGAAGCCCTAATCCTCAGACGAGCATTTAGTCCTGAAAGAGTCTTCTGGGACAGGTCAGACCCATTGGCTGTTGGAGATGACTATCTCATTGAGAGATACAGATTCTCAGGTGATGGACTAAGATATTTATGTAGGCTGCTGGGTCCAAAAACACAGCACCAGACGGCAGGAAGCCATGCTCTCACTGTACCACAGATGGTCTGTGTTACAGTGAGATGTTTTGCAAGTGGGAGCTTCCTTTATTCTGTTGGGGATGCAGAGAACCTTAATAAAGGAACCATTTGCAGCACATATCCTGGCTTGGTGGGCCCCCTGTGCCAGTTCTATGGGCTTTTTTTAAACTGCTACAATCATACAGACATTCAACATGTCAGCAGATACCTAATCTATTCACCTCATTTGTTCACTGTTATCTACTTTATAGTCACTGACCAGCCTGCAGAATGTTCTTGTATTTAACTTTAACTTGCTGCCAGGTCCTTTTATGGCCAGACAAGTTTGTTCTTTATGAAGGATACAAAGATAAAATAGATAAAAGTAGATTAAATGACACACATTGTGGATAATTGTTTGCACTTAATCATACTCTACATTTAAGGAACATGCACCTCTACTTGCCACATTTAAAGCAAAGTGTACAACAGTTGATTAGTGGACTTAAAGTAACTCCTTTAGTCCTTTAATTGGAGCCTAATGATGACAGTTCCAGTGGAGCACTGTTTATTCATTGTACAGTTTTGGACTACTTAAGCATTAAGCCGGTCCGCTATTGTCTGCCAGGCTTTCTCTCTTTCTTTAATTATGGCATTGGTATTGCCTTTGTTTCTTATATCTTCCACCTCTTCATAGAACTCCATCAGGAGCTGTTGTTCAGCGACTCTTATCCATGTTCCCATCGGTGATTCTGTGAGCGATCGCGAGGTCTATTTCAGTATGCCGTGAACACGCACTTATCCCGACTATCTACACCTGGCTTAACATAGCCGCACCTTTTAATCCTGGCTCGGCAAACGTGCAACCATTAAGCCAGGATGCAGCGAGCAGGCTAGGTCAAGCCGCGCTTGCTCAATTATCCTGGATTTCTTTATCCTACTTTTGTGCAATACCCCTCTGGACGACGACGACAACAACACAATACTGTGATACTACAAACACTCACAACTGTTTCTGTTTAAAAGACATTTACAACCAGAACCACTCACGCGAGTGTCGTGGCTCTAATTCTGCGCTGTGTTATTTAGTAGGCAAAGACTCCTGAATGGTCTCACGGTTTATTCCCTATGGAGAAGAAACATTCACAGGTGTGCACAGGGTTTCTCATACATGCTCTCTGTGCTCTGTAACACTGTGAGAACAGTCACTACATGTCTCCTGTTTACAACCAGTCTCAACAGCACTCTAGCGTCACAAGCTACGTAGCAGCCCTGCAGCACACGCAGGCCGCGACAACTTCTCCTCTAATTAGCAAGTTTATGTATGAAAGGAAATAACACAACAGTTCTACAAGTTAACACTGCGACTACAAGTATTTAAGTAACTTACATTCACTTTTACAACAAAAAACAATGAAACTACGGAGAGCAGCAAAACTGCGTAACTTTCTGAGAAAAGTCACGAAAGAGGAAGTAAAACCTGACAACGCGGTAAATGCAGGTTTAGAAAATAAAATACTTCCGGTAATAATCCGACATGGTCCCTGACATATGTGCTCAAAACATTAACATTTACAATTACACAATTACATCATACTATAACCACAACACTCAAAGGAATAAAGAAAAACATGGCAGCAAAAACGCTACCCTTCAAAATAAAAGTCTGCGCTTCACTGCCTTGTTCATAATATGGCGCAACAACATCACACCACTACACGAGTAAACTACTGCAGCAGAAACAGCAGAAGAAGAAGGATACAGGTTGGTGATGTCATAGGGACCTCTGAGCTCCAGAGGCTGTGGACACACACACACACACACACACATTATTGATTACTGGTTATTGATCAGTGCTGATAACCGGTGGATGGGGAACAGAAGCTGACCTTCTCTGCGGCACTGGACAGGATCACATTCTGAAACACAAACAGGTGAGTCAAGCTCCGCCTCCTCTGACATTAGTATGACATCACATCCTGTTGGGGAGGACGTACCTTCCCTTTACAGCTGTCCATCAGAGACACTGCGTTAGCGATGGTGTAACGCCTCATGGTGGCGTCTCTGATGGAGGCGGAGTACGACACCTCGAACACCAGACCCCTGTCCACTGCCTACACACACACACACACAATATACACAATATACAAAATATACACACAATATACACAATATACACACAATATACACACACACACACACACACACAATATACACACACACACAAACACACAATATACACACACACACACAATACAATATCACACACACACACACACACACAATACAATATACACACAAAATATACACACACACACAATATACACACACACACACAATATACACACACAATATACACACACAATATACACACACACACACAATATACACAATATACACACACACACACACAATACAATATACACACAAAATATACACACACACACACAATGTACACACACACAATATACACACACACACAATATACACACACACACAATATACACACACACACACAATATACACACACACACACAATATACACACAATATATACACAATATACACACACACACACACAATACAATATACACACACACACACACACAATACAATATACACACAAAATATACACACACACACACAATATACACACACACACACAATATATACACACACACACAATGTACACACACACAATATACACACACACACACAATATACACACTATACACAATATACACACACACACACACACAATACAATATACACAATATATACACACACACAATGTACACACACACAATATACACACAATATATACACACACACACACACACACAATACAATATACACAAAATATACACACACACACACACACAATGTACACACACACAATATACACACACACACAATATACACACACACACACACAATATACACACACACACAATATACACACACAATATACACACACACACACACAATATACACACACAATATACACACACACACAATATACACACACACACACAATATACACACACACACAATATACACACACACAATACACACACAATATACACACACAATATACACACACACACACAATATACACACAATATACACACACACACACACAATATACACACACACACACAATATACACACACACACACAATATACACACACACACACAATATACACACACACAATATACACACACACACAATATACACACACACACACAATATACACACACACACACAATATACACACACACACAATATACACACACACACACACACACAATATACACACAATATACACACAATATACACACACACAATATACACACACAGTTCAGGCAGTTAGCCTAGCCGCTAACAGCAGATATAGTTAGTATTAGTTATTAATTACTGATGTTCATTTACTAACTAGCTGCTCTGCTGCAGACGTCAGCTGATATTGATCCATCACTCTGTCTACTGATGTTTATTTATTATGTGTTCTGTACACTGTACAATCAACAACAACAACAACAACAACAACCACCACCTCACCCCGTTGACCGGCGCTCTCTTGAAGAAGAAAGGAAGTTTCTCTGTCACTGAGATACAGATGATGTCAACGTCATACATCATACAGGCTGCCTGCACACACACACACACACACACACACACATACACACACACGTTATTGATTATCAGTGATCATGTTTCCTGTAAATAGACCCCCCCTCGGTGTCAGTGAATCTCACGTGGAAGAGTTTCTCTGTGGTCGGTTGGATCGCAAGCAGGTCGAAGCAGCGATACTCTGGAGAGCTGGGCCTCTGCACACACACACACACACACACACACACACACACACACACACACACAATAATCAAACTGATTGATTGGCTGACAGTTATTAGGTCGTTAATGATTAAAATACTCACAAAGTGACTGGAGTCTGACATCACTACGGTCAGTCTGTTCAGCACTCTGATTGGACGAGACCGACCCTGACACACACACACACACACACACACAAAATCATCATCATCACCACCTTCATCTTCATCACCACCTTCATCTTCATCACCACCTTCATCATCATCACCACCTTCATCTTCATCACCACCTTCATCATCATCATCACCACCTTCATCACCACCTTCATCATCATCATCACCACCTTCATCACCACCTTCATCATCATCACCACCTTCATCTTCATCACCACCTTCATCATCATCACCACCTTCATCATCATCACCACCTTCATCTTCATCACCACCTTCATCACCACCTTCATCTTACCTGTACAATTGGCAGCTGATCAATCAGCTCATTGATCGGCGTCGGGGCGGGAATCTCCTACAAACAGGAA